CGCCCCCCCGCAGCCCCACCCACCCACCCACCCACCCACCCACCCACCCACCCACCCACCCACCCACCCACCCACCCACCCACCCACCCACCCACCCACCCACCCACCTACACAGACACCGACACCAACACCGACACACAGAGACACGGAGACACAAACACAGACACAAACAGAGAGATACATACATGTGTGTATATATATATATATACCTACCCTGAAGACAGTACGGACGCTGCACAACTACGCCCCCTACTTGGAAATCTGATCGCAGTTTGACAAGGAAGCCATCATGACAGAATCTGCCAAAACTTGCCAAGCGAGCCAAAGGCTCGAATATGAATCACAACAAAGGATTCCCGATTCAGAGCTGCGTCTACCTTACTACAGTGCTCTGTGCTTTTCGGACGCGACTAGTATTTCTGCCAAAGCGTGATGCGCTTTAAGAGGCAACAAGGGATTCAGAGTGTAGCTTGGGTCGTAGGATTTATCGCTTGGGACAGGGACTTCGGCTTTGGCTTCATGGCGCTAATAAGTTACAAGTAATCCGGGGGTCTCGAACTGTAGAGTCTTATGGTTCAGTGGCTTGAGATTTATGGACAGGTATTGGGCAAAGGTCTGAGATTCAGGGTGCTACCGTGCTACCTGCGAGGGCCCAACCACTTTAGCCAGGAACCTGTCTGAGCAAGCAGAGGCCCAATCATACACCGACACCGACTGTTGGGTCTGTTTAGAACATTGCGGGAGAGGGGCGCGAGGTTGGCATTAATGTTATGGGGCTAGAGGTGGTAGGGTTTAACGCTGCACGGCCTGCACGATCGTTTCTCCCATGTTCATCACAGGGGATCGCAAGTCAGCGCCTCCGCGCAATGCTTTAGTATCAAATTAGAAGGCCCTCAGCGTTCACGGCTTTTGTCTTTTCCGCCAGCAGGGGCTAGGGTTCCCACTGCTTGAAAGTGCATGCGTTTTCCATCCCGACCGGTTTCCTAAATCCTCAAAAGCGTGTGCTGCCACTGCGGGCCCTGCGCCTTGTTCGGTGCCTAGGGCCCAGGATCTCAAGAAACGAAACGAAATTCAAGCGAAATTACGCAGGAAATTCCTGGATTCGAACGGTGGCTTGGGTTCAGGGCCTTGGGATTGAGGTTTAGGCTTGTAAGGTTTGGGTACAGGCTCCGAATTTGGATCCTGACAGGCTTGAGCCTACAATGGTAGCACTCCTCCCGGAGACGCTTTCAGTTTTCAGATGTTCGAGCCAGGAAAATCCTTAATGCTGGTGACGAGACCAACCTTCAAATGGTATGTCAATCCTTCTTACAAGCCTCCTAAACCCTGAAACACCTTATCCTGAAACTGAGTCTGTGGGTGCAACAAGGAGGCTGAAGTAAAACTCTCAAACCCTGAACCATATTCACCACCCAGAATACTGCACCCCAAACCCTTAACCCCAAACCCGACTTGAAGATTTAGGCCCGAAATCGCAAGCCCAAGGCCCCAACCGCATCCCAGTACCCGGCACGGGCCTTCTTCGACGCCCTTCTGGCATGCCTCGATGGACACCAGCCTGCGGATTCTTTCTTTCGGATTTGGGACGAGGATCCAGGGAAAAACGGGTAGGGTTCGTTTGCAGGGTTTCGGTTTTTGACTCTGGGCAGCTTGAGGAAGTTTCGGTGTTTTGGAATTGAGAGCGCTTTGCCCCGGAGACAAGCTCAACTCGAAACCCAGCGACAGCCCAAGAGACGAACACGAAACCCACAAGCTTGAACCCGAGGGTGTGTGCATCATACGGCATCGTATGTACACGTGCCAGTACCGGTATGAATGTGTGTGTGTGTGTGTATGTACGCATGGCTGTGGTCACATGCCGGGCTATGAGATGGCTTCTCCTCGCTTTTTTGGGCGTGATTTGGTCGTACGGAGTGCCGCAACTTTGACCTGGACGCTGGCCCTTCACCAATCTGACACTGTGCACCTTTCACGCTCAATCTCTGAACCATGACCCCCTAAACACTTATCCATACAAGTTTTAGAAGGCGACCCCGGAAGCCTGGCCTCAGCCCCTCAAAGGGTGAGGAGAGGGAATGACAACCAAATAGTCGGACGACAGATCCAAGACATCTTAAGAGCCATGGAACCCTGCACGGCCCAAGACTGGAGATGTGAAACTGCAGGCTAGGCCTAAGACAGTACAAGGCAAAATGAAGCGACAGAAGAGGCAACAGCTACCACAAGTTGGCAAGTGTACGGAACGAATATGGGTCCTCCCACATCGAGCCTTCCCCCCTCGAATGGCCCTCGACATGGCTCTGCGTTTAGATTGCTGTTGGGGACACTAAGCTCTCCCTGCAGACCAGAGTGGCATGTACAAGATCACGAGGAAGACGTAGATCCCGTATGCCTGCAAGGAAAACATGGAGGTGTCGCGCAGGTTCAGGCTCTGGGGCTTTAGGGCTTCAAGCAATCAAGGCTATAAGATCTGCGCGGCTAACGCCTACGAATATCAACCGCCAACACCTGACTCTCAAAGCCTAAAGGTCCTATAAACTCTATAAACCCTTGCCTGCCAAGACCTGAACCCTCAAACCCTACCCCAAAGCCGCACGGCAACCCACAATCCCCAAGCAGGCCAAAACCTACACTAAACCCTGTCGAGCCCAGACCCCGAAACCCTGAACATGTCTGGTGCTCTCGAGATCTTCGGGCCTCGCTTTGCCCCTGGAACAGCTCAGCCAAAGGTGCGCTCAGCGGACCTCGGAGATGTCGAGAGAGAGTTTGGGTTTGGGCTTAGGGCCTTTTGGGCTTTTACTGGTCCTATGAGGGCTCCATCATGTGTCCTAAGGAATCTCCATCAATAGAAAATCAGCGGCCTTAACATTGATCACACGGTTTTACGGTATGCTGTAGAATAACTACAGAGAGACTACAAGCAAGTGTAATTCATAATTCTTCAATCCTCGATCTTAGCTCTTAGGTGTGTGTCCAGTGCCAAACGTGTTGCATGAAAGGATCTCCGTCAGCGGGCTACCTAAACGGCTTCACATCCCGGATAATGTCCTACAGGAGAGCATGCAGCCCTATACCCCCAGCCCTGACGGCAAAACGCCGAAGCCCCAAGCCGTAAGCCCGGTGAGAGGACTGTGCCGTCCAGCTCGGGCTTTTCGTCGAGTGGTTTAGGCGAAGTTTGCTGGAGCAGTGAGCCACTGATGCTGAGTCTCTCGACCCTCAACCTATAAATGCACTTTCTACCCAGTTGCAACTCCTACAGGGCCTCGAACTCGCAGAAGGCTTCAAGATGGTTTCTTCCGCCAGGCTCTTCAGCCGACCCCCTCCCCGATACAGTTCCCTAAACCCTTCCACCATTGACTTCAGTACGAGTGGCATAGCAAGGTGAGAAAGGAAGTGAAGGCCCAGACCTTCGTCCAGACACGAGGGACCACACCCTCGGGCTCTCCGGGTTGAGCCGTTGGAGGGAGTTCGGCGGCAGACCAAAACCCGAAACCCAAAGAGCTTCGGGTCTGCGGTCATAAATGATGAAGGGTTAGTGACAGAAATCATGAAGGGTTAGTGAGACAGGTTGGGTGGCTGGAGCTGGATATGAGATTTAACAGCTAGAGTACTAGAGGATCAGAGCCGTTGAGGGATTCAAGCCTCAGGCAAAATGCAACACACAAACACACCAGCCAAAAACGAGCATACATCGTACCTTATTATTGACAGCACGAAAAACCATATCTCAATTCTCATACTTGAAAACGCTTGAGCTATGTAGCCACCTGTTTATTTGCTCCTATGTGTATATCTTTGTCTGTATATGCAGATATGCAGTGTACATGCACCCGCACTGCTTTGCGGCTTTGTTTTCATATAGGCGTGTAGGCACTCGGGCTATTCGGTTCTCGCTGAGGCTTCGAAAAGGCCTGCCGTACGATATTGCCAACTCACTGGGCACTCTGAAGGCATCTCCAGTTTGGATATTTGGCGCTGAGAGGGACCGACACCCGAACTCTAACCACACGATCGAATCCAAACCCGGACCCAGCCTCCTAAACACATCACCTGGAAGCCTATGTAACCTATCTAACTCGTACTCGGCATCCTCTTCCAACCTACATCTCGGATGCTCGCCAAAAGAAGCTTTAGGCTTCTGCGGCTACCGCGTTCGTGCTGCCATCAATATGCTACTAGACTCGTGGTCTTCGGGTGTAGACATAAGAAGTACAATTATAAATATCACTCCTGTGACAACTCTACACAGCAGTATCAGCCAGATGATGGAAGCACAATACCCCTGGTTATAGGTGGGCGTATACCTTTGCAGGTCGGAGTTGCGAAGGCTGAGCCATGGCTTTGTTCCTTTCGCCTTGCGTGGAGTATTCGGTTGGACTGTAATTATACAGGTTACCAACAGGTAGCAGCTTTGCATACAAGATAATTCACCCTCCTTCTAGTTTTAGAAAGTCCCAGATCCCGAAGGTCTCAATGTGCGAACCTTAATTAGTAGCGATTCTTTAAAAGATCTCGCAGGTCCTTCCTCGCACAAGCTTGCCGTCTGGAGGGTCCGGAGCCTTTTGAGACCCCAAGCCTAACACTTTCCTGCTGCAGATCTGCCCGTGGTAAGCTCCCAACGACTGGGAAGATGAAAATACCTGGCGAAGGCGCGAGGGCTGATGATTTCAGAACGGGTAGGACGAGTTCAGGGATGGAGGGTGTTGAACGTCGGAAGGAGCAAGGTTCGCGCAAAGAGAGCAGCACCCCGGCGATCGATATGCCAGTCGACAGGAGCTGCGAAAGGTGATACAAACCGGAGGAGAATGCTCTGAGCCGTGATCTCGCGGAAGACTTGTCGGCTTTGGGTTCAGGGGTTTGTGAGCCATGCCTGACGGGCTAAGCCCCTAAACACGGAAACCCAAAACACAAGACTGCCGTCTCTCTTGAAGTCTATAGGATTTTTTTTTTAAATGCACTAGCCCTTTCTCCCGCACGAGAGGGTGTTGGGCTTTTAGTGGAAAAACCATGGAAGCTGGCAACGACACCAAATCGAAAGGAGCAGCTACATGTGGAGTGCGCGGTCGTCGGCATCGTGCACTGACCCAACGATTCCAACTCCACCTACCTAAACCTTCAAACACTGCAGGTCAACGCCTGAAACCGAAACATGTTAAGAAGGTGACCGCCAGGAGCACTGTGATAGTAGCCGCGGAGAACGCAGAGTGGCCGTTCGTTCAGCCTGTCGGATAAAGTGCCACACTGGTGCTTCCCGTCGCTTTAATAACTTAAGGCTCGACGTTGGGGTTGTCGGGAAGCTGCAGTAACCCCCTTCCCCTGCCCTTCCGCTCACGCCGCGCCGGAAACTGCATTCTCAGCCAGAACAAATCCATACAAACCATGGGCAATCCAAACCTTGAAAAACTCCCTGCGCGAAGCGAGAACCCAGGTTTAAGGCTCAGACTGTCAGTAAAGGGTATTAAACCGACCACAGCTTGAAAACCGTCGCATGTTCAATCACCAGGTCGCAAAAGTTCCGAGTTCGTAACTCAGAAACCTTGAACCGACAACCAATCATCGGCTTGCCTTTGTCCGTGGAGGTATGCCAGCGTCACCTCCGACTCTATACCCTGAACCCAAAGGTCCAAACCCTGAACCGCAAATCCCACATCCTGATGCATATTACGAGGTGCGTCATCCAACACCAGCAACACCATCACCATCAACATTACAAGCATCGACATCAGCACACACACACACACACACGGCGACACCCGCAACCAGCAACAGTGGCAGCAGCAGCACCGGCACCAGCAGCAGCACCCCCACTGCTGCCAACGGTAAATCACCACCTCGCCCACTTCCACTCCCACCTGCACCGCCCACCCAACCAGATAACGCAGAACCTTTCACTTCACAAAAGCCCTGTGACGGTAACATGTGTCCTGAAGTGCCGCAACAGGAACACGATCAGGATCCATCAGGTAAGATCGACGAGACTAAAACCGGGAGCTATATATAGATATGTATATCCGATTGATACTGGTGGGAGGTTTTGCTTCAGCTTGTTTGCGCAGCTGCCGGGGTACAGTTTCCAGCGAAGCTCGTCGGGGGCGGACATTCGTTATCTACAGCCACATAAACTTTGGTCGCCCCTTACCTAGAATCCAGCGCATGTTCTGTCAAGACTCAGACCTTACAACTTTGGTCAAGACTGGGGCTGCCCAGGGTTTGGGGTTACGGCTTGGGAAATTGAGGGTTTAGGCATTTGCAACTAGCCCTTGGCAAATCCATGTTATCCTGCTGCTGTTCATGTCTGTCATGATTGGGTTCAAGAGGGTTGAAGCGCTGCGAGAACACCCAACTGCAGCCAGGCATCGGTAGTAAAGAGCGCGAGCGCACCCAGGATCAGGACCAGGAGGAATTGCGCGCGGTTCGTCTGTTCACAAGCTCCAATCTAACGATAATTACTGTAAATCCCCACCCTAACTTAAAGTCGTGAAGGTACTTTTGCAGCAGCCGTCTTCTCGCAGGTACACCGAATGCTGAGTTTTAGCAGATTCCGTGCCGGGTCGACCAGGCTTGCAGCTTGACCATGCTAGGGCGGGAGAGCACTCTTATAATGACATACAAGTGTATAGGGCTCATCTCACATCAGTGGGCGAGAATACACATCACCCCAATGTGGACGCTGTTTCAAAGAGTTACACATCAGCGGCGCGAATAAGCATCATCACATGCTACTCCCCATGTAGACGCTGTTTGTAGTCTCCAAGTCGCGGAGCTCAATTTTCAGGACTGCATTCTGGAGCACATCTTGGCACCGAGTCCCAAGTAGACGCTGCTTTTTCTCGTCCCATGAACCGATGCTCTGGGTATCGAAAAACACTCGCGATCCACATTCGGAGTTTTGATCCTTCGGCTGCAACCCCGGTCCACGTATCGAGCACTGATCTTTGGAACAACACCACTGACATCAAAACCAGCCAATCCCCATGGAGAAGCTCGATTTACAAGCGCACGCACAAGACACGCATCAGTCGCATCACGACACGTCCAAACCAACCATTCCCCATGTAGGTGTGTCTCTGTGTCTATATATGTATGCGTGTCTGTGCGCGTGCCTTCACCCAGCGCGGAACAGTGTGACCGAGACTAGTTTGGATGAGCTGGACCTAGTTTCCACAGTGCCATGTGGTTAGCTCCGAAATGGACAAGCACCCGCTTGAGACATCACGGCACATCGCAACCAGTCATTCCCCATCTAGACGCTCGATTCCACAAGCGCCCACTCAAGACGCACATCAGTGGCATGACAGCACATCAAAACCAGACATTCCCCATCTAGACGCACGTGGACCATCGGATCGTTCACAAACAGAAGTGATTGTTTGAAAGCGGTTTCCCAAGTGTGCTCATCGATACGTATTGCAACCGAGCGAAGCAACCACTAGTACTTGACTATATTCAGCCGCTAGAACCTGGCAACGACCAACCGAAGTCTTTGAGAGGTACGCTTTCCGTATTACAAGCCTGAACTCTGAGCCCTACCTAGTTACCCAGAACTCGAAGCCAGCGGAATCAGAGTTTGGAATCGGTCGAGGCGCTGTTGATCTCTGAAACCAAGCGCTCCGAAACACCGCCCGACCACGAATGAGGCTTTTGAAGCATGCTTACGACCGCCGCAACATATCCAAAACACTTTGAGACCAGGTAGCAGACCTCAAGTGCCATAGGTAAGAACTCCAATTGCCGGGTTTGTGGTATAAACTACGCTTCCCTACAGATCAACTGAAGTGCGGTCTGCAACCTGAAGCCTGGGTCAGAGTTCGGCTTTGGCCAGGGTTAAGTGTTCAGGGTGTCAGGGTTTGAAGCTTCGGATTCGCGGAAGAACTCAACTTGACAGATGAGGACACACAAGGCCTCCATGCAATGTTCGATGTAGGTTGCCATCCGGAATTCTGGACGGCAGCGGTCAGCATTCTTGGGATTGGGTTCATGAGACACCGAAGACCCTGGCGAGCTATGCCAAAATTGAGTACAACTTGGCTCTGGCTCGGTCTTGTGGGCTGGGGTGAAAAGACGTCTCTCGATCTTTGGCTTTGGAGTTCGCAACCGAGCATGGAGGCGGAAAGTTGTTCGGGTGTACGATGACAACGGGTTGGCGGCTTGGCTTCACAAGATTAACCCTTCTGCGCAGGGCTTAGGTTGGCATTGGGCTTGCTCTACTGGTTTTGGTGGCCGTAGCTTCCCCACGATTTGCCACACGAACGGACTAAGAAAACATGCAACAGAGCTCCTGCTCGCAGACAACCAAACTTTCGGGTGTTAAGCTCTTCGACATCTATAGCTGCCCGCCCCCTGGCCCACGCAAAAGAGTTCGCGAAAACAACATCGAACGGTGATCCCCGGTGGCTGGCTTTGGAGGATTCGGTGCAACAACAGTTGCAGGCAAAGCTGACAATAAGAAAAACAAGTGGCAGCGACAGCAACTGCGTGGAAGGACATGCTGAAGACAAGAAACATGTTGAAACTAAACCACAACAAACCCAAACTGCGAAGAGCATATCGCATGTTAGGACTTCCGGCATTTTGCAGTTTAATTCAGAAGCTTTCACGCCCAGAAAGGAATCCTTGCATCTGAATGCCATACAGCCCTTAAGTTAGATTCTACAGCCGACATTCGCACACCTCTGGCATCCCGAAACCAGCACAGAAGTAGATCTTCATAATGGATACCGTATCGTGCTTGGATCGTTAGCCAAGACTTCGACTCCCCAAATCACCACTTCCACGCATTGTAAGCCATGCCGTCCAAAGACCCGAATGCTGGCGCCTGCTTTCGGATCGAAGTCCATGTTAGCAGATGCGCTAAGCAGCAGTGCAGCTACGTCACGGAGCAAAGTCCAAATGTGGGATTTTACACCCAACACTGCATGGTCCACAGTGTCGAGAGTTAGGCTGCTATGCCTGGTAACCAATGTGAGCCGCAGGATCTCAACAGCCTGAAGGGCGGTGGATGTTAAGCCTGGTGAATGCCGGATTGTTCGAGCCGCTCATTCCGGCTGGGCAACACGGAACTTCGGATCCAAGAAGATGCCAAGGCCTTTTTTGTCTAAACCTTCGAAGAGCTGCAGCCTCAGTCTCGGACATCGAACTGAGCACGAGGACTTGCTCCACTAGCTCATTCCTAAGCTTTGAACCTCAATCCGTATACCCTACACGCTAAACTACTAAACCTCAACACACAACTAGTGGGCGACTCCAGCTATGGAGTTCAGTCGAATGACCCTGATAAGTTATATCTCTATATGGGCTTAGTTTGAGGTTTAGGGTCGGAGATGCATATGAGAGAGCACCTGGACACCCACAGCTGGCTTCGAGAGGCCATAGAGCTTACGGTTAACAGACTTTTGAACTCAGGATGTACCAAAAGAGATGAGGGTGTTTCTGTTGTAGACCAGGGGTTGAGGACAGTCTTTTGAGTTCGGGTCGTCATCAGGGGTTTCAGGTTTCGGCAGCTCCGGACGGGCTTTGATTGGGTTAGCTTGACAGGGCCAGAGAGGACCTCTGAGTCTGCGAGTGCAGCTTCGGATAGAGCTCAAGCTCTTGGGGTTGTTGGGGTCGTGTTGAATTTGGGTTTCAGGGTCGGCAGAAGTCAGAGACGGCACTGCAAGCAGGAGGCACGCTCTGAAGACGAGTTCTCATAAACAGATAGCTGGTTGTCGTGGTTATCCACTGTCAGATTCCAGATGCAAACAAGGCCACGCCGAACACAGAACCTCCGCTGAAAATATCAAGGGCTTTTGAACGAGGCGACAGTGCTCGACAATCTGGGACTCAACGTCTCAAAGAACGCACTTCTGCGTTTTGGGACCACGTGTCCTCGTGCTGCTGGCTTGAAACCACTTTAACTTGCCCGGAAGTATCTAAGTCCTAAAACGAACGCTAAACCCCAAAACTTGTGGTACTCCAGGGCTTCGAGCTGAGGCCTCATGTTTTGAGTTGCGGGGTGAAGCGAGTTCATCATGAATAGGCGATGGACTCGACAGTGTCAGAACTGCGCTTGTTATTTTGGTACAGTCTCGGGCCATCTCACTTCTTTTCCTCCTCCTCCTCGTCCTCATCATCACCTTCGAGGCACAAGCAAACTCCGGAAATAAGAAATACCACAGACTCGAGACATCTCAGAATGACACATTGTACGCAAGACATGGCGTCACTTTGCTCTCTTCCTACAAAGTCCCCATAAAACTCTACAGCCCTACGGCCCGAAGCCCGAAATTCACCCCAAAACCTTGATTTCTACACCCTGAACCAAGCGCCAAAAGTTCGAACCTACAACACTCCAGCACTCACGAGGTTCTCCCAAAGCTACCATGGAGAACCCAACAACCGAAGCAGAAACGAAACAAGATGAACACAACCTCTGAAACACTCTTCGCAGCTCGAGTTGGTGGTATTTCCTGATTCAAAGTGCCTGGAGCGCTGGTCGTCTGGCCGATCTCCTGGCTCGGCGAGAGCGGCTGAAAACTATTTGGGGTGTCAGAGGTCGAGAGATTTTACAAGCAATTCTGCAAGTTTCTGGGTTTAGGGTCCGATGGAAAGCTTCGGGGCTTGCAGCAGTCCTAACTGTTCTTGGGCTTAAGGTCCGCACACAGATTAAGGTAAAAACCTAAAGCGCGACATCTTCATTCCCAACACCTCCAACTATAAGCTTCCGGCAGTTCACCCAGTTGTGAACTCCTGTTTTAACTCCTGTACAACTCTATGAAATTCCCTTCCATAGATCTTGTTTAGAGTTTCGGGCCAGTGTCAGTCTGAGGCCAAGGACGCCTTTTGCGAGGTCCCTGAGTTTCGGGGTTCTCCGGGTGCCGGATGCCGGCAACAGGAAGGATTCTGGAGAGAATCTTAACATTCCACCAGTAGCTAGACCCATGCCTTCTGTCTGTTGCACGAGGCACGGCATGATATTGGGCTGCTTGTCAAGCCGACCTACTCCAAACGTGATTGGTAAAATTGGCGATCTTACCGCACCGCTGCACACCTATTACAATTACAACGCTGTGGATCATAGCGCTTCCCCAAATCTGAGAGAATACCAACTACAGCACGTGTGAAAAGCCAAGAAAGTTTGATCAGAGTCCGGAGTACACTAATGCCACTATGCCGTAGTTGATGACGAGGCGAGTCGGGTGAGGCTCTGCCGAATCTCTTGACCCGGAAACTTCGCCGGGAGCGCATGCTTCACCCGCTGGGCCAGGGGGGAAAACCTGAACAGGAGCTCTTTGCAAAATATGCTTAAGCCGGGGGCCTATACCCCGTGCCAACACCAAGGTACCGGTTGGATTCCAAACTTCAGGCAACACCTGCAAAACAAAACTTTGCTAGTCCGACTGCAAGCTCGATGAACTCACTTCTAGGGCGAAACAGAATCCCAAATAGTCCTGTAACAACACTCTAACCGTGAAGATTACATGCCTGCGATTGATGTATTTAGTTCAGGGCTGAGGGCTCACGGCCTCAACATCCCTCGATGCCCTGCATGCCATCCTTATCCGAGTGTGTTTGGGGTGTAAATCATGTGGATGCATGCATCAATACGCATAAATGCAAAGACATAGACATACCTACGTAGGTACGTATGTTCGCACACACAAACACGCGCGCGAACATGTATGCATGTATGTATGCATGCAAGGACGTAAATAGTTTTGTGTGTATGGCTGTATGCATGTGTGTCTGCAGGTTTGTACCACGAACGGATGTATGAATGACTAAAGGAAAGCATGTAAGTAGGGATGTATGTGTGTATGTATGTATGTATGTATGTATGTATGTATGTATGCATGCTTGCAGTTAAGTATGTATTTCATAGCGTAATGTAATGTGATGTAATCTAATGTACTGTAATGCACTGTAATGTAGTGTGGTGTAGTGCAATGTAGTGTATCGTGGTGTAGTGTAGTGTAGTGTAATGTAGTGTGACGTAGTGTAACGCATGTAGGCATGGATATACGTATGTGTACCTGTCTTTGTACAAACATATCTATAAATACTCAACAGCACTGTAACTAACAGCCGGTGTGATGGCAGCGTTGTGGCAACGCCAGCCAGAGTCACCTTGCTAAGAATTGTCCCTCAAGCAAATGGGCCTGCCCATCTGCCTACGGCATTATCGGTTGTCATAAGGTGTCAGCAGCAATGTCAACGTTCGTGAGAATGGCCCGTCACGCTCATACATGACATCCATGACAATGCCAGTACGTACCTGACCGACAACACTGCTTAGCGCCTTCATCACTAGCACCATCAATGACTATATCCCATAAACATGCGTAGGACTCTACCGGCATGGCTGATTGCCGGCAAGCTTCTTACTTACTTGGATGGTATCCTTGAGCATGGCCATAGCAAGGCCCCCCAAGGCTTAGTCTCTGGCTTGTCTTCCTCAGCATTGGCAAAATAGTTCACAACCTCCAAGAACAATGCGTTTAGGAGCTGAGCTGAGTGCGTGTCGGATTCAGGGATGAAGTGGATACTTGGTTGGGACTTCCCGAATCGAGGGGCCCCAGTATGGACGAACCTGCCAAAACTTCTCAGACCGACAGCTTTCCTTTAAGCTTTACGGAACTTTACGGTTCGAGGTTCCTTGCTGGTGGAGACAAATCTTGCACCCTCATGTGCACTTGCAAGCTCAAGAGTAGAGACATCCCGGACGTGCCGAGCCCCAGCTGGAGATTGGACTTGAGTGGTTGCATCAGTCGGTAGCGTACGGAAGCAAGGTGAAAGGACAAAGCAAAGCTACCAAGCCTTCGAAATAAATATGATATAGATATGGGCAAATGGTCAAAGCATGCCACAGCTGCATGCTTTGCGAATGTAGTGGCTGCACAGATAAACGCCAAGCCCTGCTCTGAGACATTCCGAGCCTCTGCCTTGAACTGTTCGCC